CATTCATCGTTCAATACAGACTGGAAGGTTGTCCAGCTGAATAGAAAGAGAGGCAGAAAATTTGAATCTGAACTGGAGCATCCTAGATATGATATCTAAAGAATTATAATATCAGTGCAATTTTTCTCGCGAATATCAGTGCGCGAATGAAAAGGTGAGTAACATGCAGTCGAACGAACTCACATGCTGTTCAAGAAAGCTTCTGCGTACATTTTTAGATTCGCAAGCATACAATATTCTCTCAGGATTTAGTCTCAGCTATTTCATCGTATCAACACTCACTGGAAGAGATGGAAGATACTACATCAATGCCACTGTCAATTTTTAGTCCTTCTTCTTCCTCAACTACAGAAGGTTCTTCCTCAAATCTTAACGGTGATTTTCTTTGGTTTCAAGTATTTATCAAAGTTCTACTACGTATGCAGCATTCTGATAAAGAACAAAATGAACTTGTGCAACTCTGTAAAGGTACACATCGAGGTAATACGAGTGAATTGAATGATATTAATGACTTTGAACTTACTTATAACCCGGTTAGAGCACTCTTTTGGTACACAAGAGAAACTTGTCTCTACAAAATGTTGAACAAAGCACTACGTTCTCAAAATATTGATACACTAATTGCTTTTCGTTCCTATATTACTGATATTTATCATCAGTGAAAACGACTTCAAACTCTCGATCAGTTGATTAGAATTAGACGGGCCTATCGCTTTCAGTTAATGTCTAACGATGAATTAGAACGAATACGTGTTTCAGTTGGTAACTACGTTTCAATGAATAGCTTTTTTTCTACAACACTCGATCGTACGTATGCATTATTTTTAATATCATCTGCTGGTGCAGCTTCGAGTACCACTCTTCAACCAATTCTCTTTGAAATTGATCCATTGAAAGAAGGAATGAAACCTTTTGCTGATATTAGCGCAGAAAGTCATTTCAATACAGAAAGAGAAGTTCTGTTCATGCTTGGATCGATATTCAAGATTGAAAATGTTATACTGACCACAACAACAGATGGTAACAGCTATTGGAGTATTAAACTTTCATTAGCAAGTGAAAATGATTATGAATTGAGAGAAGTTTCTGCATAATTGAAAAAAGAAATTGATGCTGATCCGGATCTTGTTTCTCTCGGTCTCATTCTGAGTGATATGGGTAATTATCAAACTGCAATAAAATGTTATCATCGACAATTAGATCAAATCGATGATCAAAGTACGTCCAGGAAAGCTGCTCGAAGTTTTGTTGGTCTTTGAAATGTTGCTCGTTAGACAGGTAACTATGAGATGGCAATTTTATATCAGAAGAAAGCATTGGAAATATTTTCAATTATACCAGATGGTGAAATTAACCTTTCAGTAACTTTGCTTAATATAGCTATGCATATGAAAATAAAAAAGAGTATGAAGATGCTCTTAGTTGTTATCGAAAATGTTTAGAAATACAGGAGAGAATTTTTGGTTTAGATAGTCTACAAGCAGCACGAACATATCATAATATTGGTTATCTTTATAGTAGAAAAATTATGAAGAAGCATTAGTTTATTTTATTCGTGCACTGGAAATTGAAGAAACGTGTTTGCCATCTGATCATTATGAAATTGCTAAAGCATGTGAAAATATTCGTTTTATTCGTTTTAATTTAGGAGACTATGAAACAGCACTTCCGTTCTTTGAAAAAGGTTTCAATATAAAACGAAAATCACTTCCAGCACAACACGTTGATCTCGGTATGACATATCATAATTTTGGTCTCATTTATGAACAGACTGAAAAATTAAAGGAAGCCTCAGAAAACTTTCTCATGGCAAAACAAATTTATCGTCTTTACTAGCCTGACACACATCCGCATGTTGTTGAAATTAATGAACATTTAGCAAGTGTAACTGAAAATTTAAACATACGTATTGCGTACGTGCGTTTAAACATACGTATTGCGTACGTGCGTTTAAACATACGTATTTCTTTGGTTTCAAGTATTTATCAAAGTTCTACTACGTATGCAGCATTCTGATAAAGAACAAAATGAACTTGTGCAACTCTGTAAAGGTACACATCGAGGTAATACGAGTGAATTGAATGATATTAATGACTTTGAACTTACTTATAACCCGGTTAGAGCACTCTTTTGGTACACAAGAGAAACTTGTCTCTACAAAATGTTGAACAAAGCACTACGTTCTCAAAATATTGATACACTAATTGCTTTTCGTTCCTATATTACTGATATTTATCATCAGTGAAAACGACTTCAAACTCTCGATCAGTTGATTAGAATTAGACGGGCCTATCGCTTTCAGTTAATGTCTAACGATGAATTAGAACGAATACGTGTTTCAGTTGGTAACTACGTTTCAATGAATAGCTTTTTTTCTACAACACTCGATCGTACGTATGCATTATTTTTAATATCATCTGCTGGTGCAGCTTCGAGTACCACTCTTCAACCAATTCTCTTTGAAATTGATCCATTGAAAGAAGGAATGAAACCTTTTGCTGATATTAGCGCAGAAAGTCATTTCAATACAGAAAGAGAAGTTCTGTTCATGCTTGGATCGATATTCAAGATTGAAAATGTTATACTGACCACAACAACAGATGGTAACAGCTATTGGAGTATTAAACTTTCATTAGCAAGTGAAAATGATTATGAATTGAGAGAAGTTTCTGCATAATTGAAAAAAGAAATTGATGCTGATCCGGATCTTGTTTCTCTCGGTCTCATTCTGAGTGATATGGGTAATTATCAAACTGCAATAAAATGTTATCATCGACAATTAGATCAAATCGATGATCAAAGTACGTCCAGGAAAGCTGCTCGAAGTTTTGTTGGTCTTTGAAATGTTGCTCGTTAGACAGGTAACTATGAGATGGCAATTTTATATCAGAAGAAAGCATTGGAAATATTTTCAATTATACCAGATGGTGAAATTAACCTTTCAGTAACTTTGCTTAATATAGCTATGCATATGAAAATAAAAAAGAGTATGAAGATGCTCTTAGTTGTTATCGAAAATGTTTAGAAATACAGGAGAGAATTTTTGGTTTAGATAGTCTACAAGCAGCACGAACATATCATAATATTGGTTATCTTTATAGTAGAAAAATTATGAAGAAGCATTAGTTTATTTTATTCGTGCACTGGAAATTGAAGAAACGTGTTTGCCATCTGATCATTATGAAATTGCTAAAGCATGTGAAAATATTCGTTTTATTCGTTTTAATTTAGGAGACTATGAAACAGCACTTCCGTTCTTTGAAAAAGGTTTCAATATAAAACGAAAATCACTTCCAGCACAACACGTTGATCTCGGTATGACATATCATAATTTTGGTCTCATTTATGAACAGACTGAAAAATTAAAGGAAGCCTCAGAAAACTTTCTCATGGCAAAACAAATTTATCGTCTTTACTAGCCTGACACACATCCGCATGTTGTTGAAATTAATGAACATTTAGCAAGTGTAACTGAAAATTTAAACATACGTATTGCGTACGTGCGTTTAAACATACGTATTGCGTACGTGCGTTTAAACATACGTATTGCGTCAGCGAGTTAACCTTTCTTCTTCCACCTGTCTAGACATTACTGAAAAAACATTTTGATCTGTTGATTTTTTAAGCACGACGAAGTTGATTGCTCTAAACTCTGCAATATCTCAACCGAAGAGGTTAAAACCATTTACATTGAACGAACTTGATCAAAGTCAATCGAATAACCAGCTCAGAGTGGATTATACAGAAGTTTCTTTGAAGACCGATTTAGTTTACTTTTTCAAAAGTTTCTGTCATGCCAAAAGCTCAGGGATAGAGTAGATCTAGAAATTGCGAATGTACGGGAGAGGGACGGAGGAGGGTACATTTAAATTATAAAACAATTCGTCCAGGCTTTCTTTGCTACCCCTACATTTCACACTTTTTAAAGGTTACAGCATCCCTTTCCGTTTAGTCTTTCTACACAAAGCTGTCTATAGTTCGAAAAAACTTCGAGATTGAGAGCATAAAATATCACTTTATCGATTAATAAACGAATTTTAAAAATGCAATATCTGTGTGTAACAGAAAAATTGCACTGATATTATAATTCTTTAGATATCATATCTAGGATGCTCCAGTTCAGATTCAAATTTTCTGCCTCTCTTTCTATTCAGCTGGACAACCTTCCAGTCTGTATTGAACGATGAATG